TTAGCTTTGGCAATTTCATCAGCTTATTAGCTTACTTACTATACTTTAGTACCCTGTGAAGAAAAAAGATTATTAATAAGGAGAATTCAATGAAGATTAGTAATTTATGTATGGTGGGAGAATTGGGAATTTAAAATTTACGCATTTAAGGAGAAAATCTAAAAATCCTCATTTTACTTTTGCCTTCAAAATGAATAATAAAATACTCCTTTTAAGTATAGAAAGGGTTTATTCCTTTCCTTTTTTTTGCAATGAATTCTTTCTTTATATTCTTTAGCCTTACAGTTATCTTTCATCTATAATCTACTTTTGTACTTTACTGTTTCAACTATTACAGAATTCCTCTAATAGTTTAAAATACTTTTGATCACTTATTACATAATGCAATATCTAATTGATTATAAATATATTATACAACGTTAATAAAAAGAAAACTTTCTTCACTAAACTGTTTTAATGTTTTTCTCTGAGTTTTACTAAATGATTTTGATGGAGTTTTGTTCTCTGAGCTGGATGGTTTGGTCGTGGAACTTTCATCATTCTTCTGAAAGACATCATCAGCACAAACTTCAAAAAGAAGTGAAGTGTTTGAATTTCTCCATATGCATGCATATTTGTGCAGAATTTTCCTGATTGGAAGATTATACACAAATATAGGAACAAAAATCAAACCAATGGGAAACACAACCAAAACAAAGAAGTAGACAATGACAAATTTAAAGTCAATAAGAACCAATCATCGTCGAGGTGTACGGAACAAGTTGTGAAACGCATATGGAGAAATTCGAACACTTCACTCCTATCTGAAGTTTGTGCTGATGATGTCGTTCAGAAGAACGATGAAAGTTCCGCGACTAAACCATCCAGCTCAAAGAACAAAACTCCATCAAAATCATCCATCTGAGCTACAAATCTCCACCAACTAAAGAATTTGTTTATGCTGAAGTAAATAACTTTGTAAAATGTTTAATCAAAATATATTTAGACTAGAAATTATCACAATATATTCATGGGTAAAAAGAAATAAACATATTGAATTAAGTTATACTTAGGTTGTTTTGTTTTACATAGTATAGTTCTTTCCTGTTTAACTAAGTTATATAAAATAAGTTCTGTTAACTCATTTGTCTGAAGAGTTTCTAATAATAAGTTTAAATAATCAACTAATGATAACTGACTAGATGGCTAAACCGTATTGGAAGGGTCTTATCTTTAGTTTCTCGTGAACACTTACATGCCAAGTTAGTATCATTAAGTCTAATCGACTAGGGATATATAATATAAAAATTGAAGATGAAATCTCAGTTAAAAATCAAATCTAGTATAATCTAATGAAGATTTCAAGATTATGCCTATTGTATATAGCTGAAACAGTTGACAATGATTCCTAGAAGACAGACTAATGTGTATAAAAGAGATGCGTTCAAGTCATTTATTTACATTAGGTCATAGAATTATCTTATTCCTAGTTCAACCATGTCAGTACAAATTGTAAATATTACCCTCCTTTTTTATTCACTGACACGATTTTAAACTATTGATTAGAGGTCGTTACCTTAAAAGTTATGACTTTTCTGATTTCTTCTTTATGGATTTGTAACTATGGAGCTCTGAATAAAAAGTTATCATTGGAAGCATTTTACCGTTCAAATATTGTTCTCGTTTTTTTAAACTGGCTTTTATTGCGTTGATTTCCCGTTATTCTTTAAACAATTCTTAGTATATTAAATGTTCCTATCTATTTGTAGATTTCATTTCAGATTATTTGATAACCTTACTTTGTTAATCATTTGAAAACGTGGTTAATTTGATTCTAAATTTATTTGGTATTGCTTGTTTGAATCTTCTCATTGATGTTTAGCATTGCAATTGATCAGTCTCTTATTGGCATATGTGTATCCCGTGAGGATTGCTTCGATATCGCCTTCATTTCCAAAGTGTTTTAAGCAAAGATGTCGAGTCTCAGGGTAAAAACAAACTCTAGAATGAAGGTAAATCCAGCTGACAAGTCCGAAATATGACGAAACAAGCGTCCTGGATTCCACTGCTAGCCACCAACCACCTTTAATTCGATTTTGTTTAAATATCCTAACTCTTATAAATATTTTCAATGATTGAGCTTACTGATTTGATCATTTGGTTTGTTTACCAATTTTTCCTACTGCCAAACTGATTAATATTCTGGAGACTAAGACATTTAAAAAGCCGAAATTCATTACAAAGTTCAACCGATCTGTTATGTGAGGCATTCATTTCTTGTCTTTGTAATATGAAGAGATAAATGGTGAAATAAATATTTGATTGTTTGAGAATGAAAAACATAAATATTAGTTATCTACCAGACAATCTTATTTCAGGCAAATACTTTCATCTAATAAATAACTTGGTCTTTTGAAGAAAATTATCTAAACAGGTCAGAATCATGTGTACGAACCGATATTTACAGATGTTATTGGAGATCGCAGCCGAATATTCGAAGCACTTGAGTGTTCCCTCAACTGTGTACGATTAAAATTATTTTCTAGATAACGACAAGAACTTTTGGTTAGTATGAGTGACAAGTTATTAAATGAGTTACTGAGAGTTGTTATTATTCTAAATCAGTAAACCACACATACAGATAATTATATTTATTCCAGGCATTGTTGGCTACTTCATAACTATAATGGATGCTTCTCCATTTCGAGATGTATTGTTTGACTATTAGATAAAGAGTAGGAGAGCAACTAAACGTTGAATAAGAATAAAATTTCAGAAGAGTAATAGTGTTTTACTAGTATAGGGGTTGTGGAGATTAATAAGTTTTTGATTGAGATCATGAACCGATTAATGTTAGACCATCACAATTGAAAACCTGGGAGCACTGGACGGCCGTTTCGTCCTATTGTGGGACTCCTCAGCAGTGCGCATCCACGATCCCGCGAGCGGGATTCGAACCCAGGGCCTCCGGTCTCGCGCGCGAACGCTTAACCAACTGGACCACTGAGCCGGCATCCAATGGTGATAGTTTCTAACATTAACCAATCCACGAAATTGCGCGACCAACTTCCATTGTACTGAGGTAGATACCTGTCTCTACCCGACAAGGATTAGCTCCACTGATCACGGCTTCTCACTAGAACTCCGAGAATTCCCTCACGATGCTAGTCACTAGTGAGCACATGTTAATTACTAGTATAGGGGTTGTGGAGATTATTAAGTTTTTGATTGATTTTGATTATAAAAACAGCAGAATATTACCCTGAGGACAATAAGCGTGTAAATAAGGCGTTAAAATCTTTAATTTAAATAATTCTGCATATAACCTTCTTATGGATGATAACTTAAAGATTGAGGTTTTGCCTGAAGAGTTGTTGTAATGAATGAATAAGATGGTGATGGATAAATGATACGCAACTATATGATATTGCCGAGTGATTGGTACCCACGAAATAGGATTATTTTTGTCAATACGCAAACATAATTAGAAGACTTTTGAAAGGTGACTAATGGAACGATACAGTTTCCACAGGTCACTCAAGTGCCAATGAAATTAAGATCTGAGTCTTCAGCCTAATTATTCCTCATAATATATCGTCAACGCACAAGATGATATGGAATCCATTTTTAAAACATTTATAAAACGAAAAAAACTCTTTACTTCTTTCATATATTCTTCAGTTTTCTTGAAAACCATATTTTTGCCCCGTCTCTAGATAGCAAGCCTACCACTGTCATAAACTCTAGACGCTCATCTATCATCGTCTGAGTGCTAAGGGGTAATAAATTCTTACAACTACTTCCTTCTATGTTTTTAGATTTAGCACTTATCACATGATTTGGTCCATAACTATTTGGACACATGAAGCATTTTTTTGTTTGTAGCCGAGAACCTTGGAGCTCTCCGTTAGCTTGTTTAATGTGCGGTTTTTGGAGGGCTAATCAGGAGCATACATTATAAACTTACCTGATTATTGTGAAGCCAAATTTGGAGATTCTAAATATAATGCTGAATAATCTTCAAGAAATTTAGAGTGATTTGAAGACAATCACTGGACTCAGTCTTATGACTGTTTTCAACAACTTGGCTGTTCCATTTATTTCAGATCTAATGATTTATGAGTTCTTTGTTGAGTTTTTTTGTGGTTGAATTAGTTTAATTTCCTTTCACACAATGTAATCAATATCTTAATAGTTAGTTTTATCGTCACTGTTAAGAGTTATCGGTTTTTGATGAATTTATAACGAGTTTAAAATTGTTAAAATGAATGAATGAAATTACTCTATTGATCGATAGCATACATGAACAATTTAGGATACTTTTATTTCACATGTATCTGCTGGTACCCAGAAGGGGCTTACAAATATCTGCAGAGTACATAACACAAATATTTTGAATATATTGAGAGGCACACTAATCCAATGACAATGACAGTAAGAGAAATAGTTTTTATGATCAGAAGCAAAAAAACGTGTTATTAGATTTAGTCCAAGAAGAATTTATAGGAGGCATAACAGGGTCACGTGTCCCAGTACGATATCTAAAAGTAGTCTATCGACGTTTGCAGACAAGTGTCACCATTTTTCTTGTTTCATATGCATACTATTGATCACCAACGTAGATGATCTATGTCAAAATGATTGGAGGCCTACTCGAGCTAGACGTGAATGGTGTGACAAACTAGCTAACGTTTAAGTCACACCTCGTGGTCAGCACCTTACGTGGACTACCACATTGATTTATCAATGTACCACAGATGCTTTGAAGACTGTACAACACAGAGGACGTTGTTACAGAAATATATTAGTTAAAGTAGATACAAGCGAAAGTAAAACCACTGCCGCATAGGCCAGTCCATGGCATACGATTAACTGATGGGCGTTGGTTGTCCTTGTCCTTGACGAGGATCGATGATTTGTTCGATATTCAATGACCCAACTACCGGATGACTTGGCTAGGGCTCAGTGGAATTTCACTGGCCCTACAATACCAATAAAAATATACAAAGTAAACAACAGACTAATTTGTAAATTTTATATAAAAAACACAAGTGATTGTAACAAATTACATTCAATTTAAAAATACATGAGGTTTTAAAATCACAACAAAATCACTAAACATGTTAGGTGTCATTGACAGTTTTGTATGAAAAGTGAAAGTTCCATTACAGCATTTCTGAATAGTCTTCAATGGGTTTACATTAGTTTTTTTAACAAAATAAATATGATAATCGTATCAATTTTATCCAGGATATTCACCAACTGTAAACTCTTGCAGAATAGAACAATAACAAAATGGTTCTGTATAAAGTATGTGTAACTGATTCAACCAGTTTCATACAATAATCTTCACTGCATCAATTTACACTATCTATCATCTATACAACTGGATCAATTGTTGTTTTATGTGTTTGTAATCGTTTCTGATGCGTTTGCACACCTTTATCTAAACCATTACATTCAATAATATCTTCAAATATAATTACATTGACCAGTTGATTAGTTTTATATTCATTTTTCGTTTTATATTTACTTTTATTTGAGTTACGTGTCAAATTTTTTTTAACTGATGCCTCAGTTAATGATGGAATATAAGCTACTTTAGTCCATGGTGTCCATGGTGTTGTAACAGTATTAGGATTTGATAAACGATCACTGTTTTTCTTGTCTAAATTTGATATATTTGTGTTGGTTGATAATTGATTTATTTGTTTTAGTGTTTTATTTGTTGAATTTTTTGAAAATTTATTCCATTTGAATCGAGGGTTCACAGCCAATCGAGCTGTCGAGCAGAAGAATAGACATAAAGAAGACTAATTGTAACAGAATGTAAATCCAAATAAAGTGAACTATTTTTGAAAAAGGCATTTTCTTTTTAAATTTGTTTTCGACACTGTTCTCAGTTAACTGATGAAGAAATAAAGATAAGACTAGTCGTATGTTACGTTTCTGTGCATAAGATTCAATAGCAAAGTGACTGATTGGAGTTACAGTATAGCATAATATTCACTATTGTTTACTTAATTAATAATAATATATATACTAAAATACTATTGTTGCTCGTAATTTCTCTAACATACAATCTGATTTAATTAAATTAATTCGATAGTTTTGCATAACAAACTGGGATTAGATCGTTAACAATTGAAAACCGAGAAGTATTGGACATAGATTTCGTCTTAGAATGTGACTTTCTAACTGTAGGCATCCAAGACTTTAACAAGGACGGAACTCAAGACCTTCCAGTCACGTAGTAAGCACTTGATTTTCAAACCCTGTAGTTGTAATCTAATAGTTTATAGGTCTCACAACAACCACTTGGCAATATTGCACCAATATCATCCTGTGCAATCGATGGTATTTATCGTAGTTCCTAAGTAGTTGCATTCTACTGCCTCAGACGAGTTTTGCGAACCCCTACTTACTACCATTTTGACAGGGAAAGCCCTCGTTTAGATGTATAGAGCGGAGGAATATTTTATTTCACTTAGTTTATCACCATGGCCTCGCACCAATATATATATATATATATATATATATATATATATATATATATATATATATAAGATTTACGCTAATAACATAACACTAATCGAGCAGTGATGTAAATCATATGTATAATATTATATAAATGAAAAGCTGTGATAGGAAACCAACTGGACAAAAATTTCTACGCTCTATCGAACGTCTTATTTCAGTATTGTCTATCGTTTAGCTGACAGTTTTTTACGGGTAAAATCTGGAGGCAATGTACATGTGTTTCGCCATGGTTTTGTAACTGTCAGTAATGTGCACTAACGGCGCTACACTGTCTTGAATTTAAGTATTGTACCAGCTGATAGATCTGAAGCATTTAGTTTATTATAATTAGCTGGAAATATCTTAGTTTTACAATTTTACTTGCCAGTTTCAGGTTGCCAGAAATTAAATGTTTTAGTTGTCATTTCATTTGTCTAAATTGCAATCAAACTGTCTAACTGCTAGCTGCAAAATAATGAAAACATAATGACTGTTGTAAGTATGGGGTTGTGGAAATTGTTGAGTTCGACTGAAATCAAGAATCGACCTCCACAACTGTATAATGACAATCCTCATGTGTTTACTAATGATTAACTTCGAGAGGAAATCTTCAAAGCTTTATTGAGAAACCGTGATAAGTGAAGTTTAACCATGTTGGTGTTAGGAAGTTACTAGAAATAATGGGAAATGGTCATGCATTTTGGTGGATTGATAGAATTATCACAAAGAATCAAACATACATGACATTAGTTAGTAATCAATGACTAATTAGTATACTTTACATTCTATCTGAAAGATAATATACTATGTACTTTTGTTTCATTTCAATGTTTAATTTACACTAACCTTGTACAGTATGACAAATATTTTTAAAATCTGTTCGAATCCATTCTTCATCGTTTTTAATAGGTCCTTGTGTATAAAACCATGGTGTAAAAAGATCATGAAAAAATATATTTAAAATAACAAAATTTTGGCCATCTCTTTGTATTTTTAATATATTAGCTGTATTCCATCGACCATATTCAGCTTCTAAACATTTCATAAATTCATTAGCAAATATTCGACTATGAAATGTTACACCATATCGATTACCTTCATGTGATACAGTATACCAACCTACAATTAGATAATATAGTAGTATAGTTATTGTTTAAAAAAGAATTTGACAATCTATTTATTTCACTAGCTGAAATCATGAGTCAATTGAAGCTAGATCACCATGAAAAACCTGGAAGCACTGGACGGCGGTTTCGTCCTAGTGTGGAACTCCTCAGCAGTGCGCGTTCACGATCCTGCCCCCCGCGAGATTCGAACTCAAGATCTATCAGTCTCGCGCGCAAACGCTTAACCACTAGACCATCTATGTACTTTGTAAAAAGTTAATAACAATAGAAACTAATTATCGTTTTAATAAATTTATTGAATAGATGAGAATTGTTGCTATTGTTCTAACTTCTTTTAAGATTTATTCAATTTGTATCGAAGTGTTTTGATAATGATTCAAATGGAAGTATATCTGATTAGTTAGATATGTACATTCATTTCAACAAGACAATTGAACTTTGTATGACAAGCTGTGAACCATATTTACAGAAATTTGAACACTTCGCTTTCATCTGAGCTTTGTGTTGATGATGGCGTTCAGAAGAATGAAGAAAACTCCACGAACGAACTAACCACCACAGAAAATAAAATTCTATCAAAATCATCCACCTGACCTACAAATTTTCTCAATAATCTCAACAAGAATTACAGTCTCGTAATATCAGTATCCAACAGATTTATTTTTTTACGAATGATTCTCTATGGAGAATCGGATAAAAGAAATAGAAGTTGAATGCAATTTATGGATTGTCGTTGGTAGTAAAATTGGGAACATACTTCAAAAGCCTATTAGGATAATACATGCGTCTTTTAATTGTAGTATTAGCCACAATCCATCTGTTCTACATGACAGACATAGGAGATTTGTTAGGGTGTTAGTATTTTATAATTGGCAATACTGACTGACCCTAATTGGATAACCACCGAACACTAGGAAGCAAGTTCAGTCGTATTGAGTGTGAGACACTTACTCACTAATGACATTGGCAGATAATTGTGTAATATCACATGTTGATTGAAATTACTTATCCAAATAGTAGGCTAAAGGTTAAAGGCTTTCACCTAGATCTGAATTTCCTAGTCCTGTCCCATACTAGAACGAAGTAGGTTTCCATACCCCTTAGTTTTGTAATGGTTATTTAACCAGGATTAGTCCGTGATACGAACTTTAGTATTCGACATAACCTGAAACAAAATGATTACATCGAGTTGTACGGGACAGGATGAGCGTATGGTAACAAAAATCGATAAAAATCCAGGCAACAACTTCAACAAAAGGATAATCCAAGCTATCAAATAATAATATAGATAACATTTATATCTCATTGACTTATATATGATGACGTTCTAATCCTTTACTACTATTTTTTTCATTAGAATAGTAAGGATTTCCCAATTAATTACTTTTTGGTATAGTGGAAAAAGATGAATGAAATAATAGTGACGTGAGTAACAAAATAGTATAGTGTCTTATGGAAATTTTGAAAGTGCTTATCAGTAGTGTTCAGGACTTGTGTTTCATCCTGCTTAAAACTTGACAGCTATATGTATTTACACCTCATTGTTAATATTTACTCTGAGGCTTAAACCCAGTACCTTACACTTTGAATGCTTAACGCGTTATCCAGTTAACTAATGAGATCAGTTAATCATTAGCTTGTGAAACAAAATAAGTTTCAACTCATTTGTAAGGACTCTTTTAATTTTCTCATTGTTATTGATGTTAAGCGTTGCAATTGATTAATCTCTTTCGGCATACGTGGATCCTGAGCTCCGATATTGTTACTAAATATAGTGTTTTGTATTGGCAGTAGCTAGATATTTTTGTTTTCTCTCAGCAACTAATCATGGCCTAATTTTAACTGATATGTTAATTTTGCAAATAAATGATATTTCTATCTTCGCGAGACTACACTACACTAATGGTCTAAGAACTAGGTTCCATAAGGTAATAGATGTCTCAATTATTTGAAACATTTTCAATTGACAACTGATCAATTGTAATTTTTCAACAGACCACCATGATGTTTTAGAAATTTCTGATTTTTATATGAGTTATATACTTATATAAATTAATGTTTATGATTGTATGTACTTACCAGCCCACACATTTATCCCCCATGTCTTCTTAAACATGAATTACTTAGACGCATGATGTGTGTTAATGTCGGCAACGTATTCACGTACTCATAAATACTAAATCATATTTAATCATTCACTTGATTTACTATTCCCTGCTTGGATTGTTTGAAGTGAACACTTGAAATAACCTTCCGTTATATATATGAGACATTATTTTTACTGCTTCTACTTTATATAATATACAGTCAGAAGTTAGGACTTGTAGCGGTTTTAGAAACGAATAATAGAGATAAGTTATGATTGACTATCGACTTTCAGTACTGGTTCTTGAAGGTATTGATGACAAAGCTATTAAACTGAATCTTAATGAAATCATATATATAAATGATCAATTATCGTTTATTTCATATTTGTGATTATGACTGTCATAATAAAAATGAATTATACCGATTTAAAAGGTCCAAATGTTAAGGAATAGTTGTGAGATTTTTGTAATATTGTGATATGTTTTATTAAATAAACAACTTCAATTCATCATTGCTACTTACAAACCATAGGGTTCTTCGTATTTGTGCTTGTTATACGATTAAAACCCTAGGGATTCTATCATTTCTACTTTTGTAGATGGGATTGGATAAAATCTTAACGTTCAATTAATTCAGTCAGAATAGTAAGTAATACTGGGTGACTATGGTTCAAATTTCACAGGAAGCATCAGTTACTTTAACATTGCAGACATGATACTGGTTGTTACTTGATATATATATAACTCTAGCAAGAAAATGTTTTCTTCTTACTGTAGTAATCTCATTGAAGAAACACTTACGAGTCAAGTGGGAAACTTGTTATTAATAGCTCTAGGACAATTTTTTTCTTTATTAATCAGTAATCCATTTAGACTTTCATAAACATAATGGTTATTTTGTGGAAGAATCTAATTCTTCAGCAGAAAATAACCAAAAAATTAATATTCATTGACATGAATTTTATGAAAAAGAAAAACGCTATCAGAATAATAAGTAGTGAAGGAAGACTTACGAGTATCCCACTGGAATTCAGCATCATCTATATCAAATGAGTATGAATAGATAATAAACACGAAGTTACTTAATTTGATTAAGTGAACAACTACGAAGATATTTAAAAACGTATATACACATATATATGCACATATTTACATGAAAATAAACTGAATTTCACAAAAATAGTTTCGTTAATATTTTTGCAGCAATGGTTTGTAGATAATATCTGTCTTAAGATAAGTTGATCGCATAAAAGTTCTCGCTATATTAATCGCCCGTTATATGAAACATAACATTTTTGTGGTGATGTCTTTGAAGTATTGGTTGAGTCTGGTAGGACCACTAAGTAAACAAGTTTGAGGTTAGTAGTTAATTTGTTGTTAAAAGCAATTGATGGAGCCATCAATCCTTGCCTTTATGTTAGGAATGACTAGTCACTCACTGCCTACCACAACGCGTAACTGGGACTGGGACAGGAATGGTAACAATGAAAGCTACTGAAGGCGTAAAATAAACCGCAACATGAGTTCATGAAATTACTAACTGTGAATTTAAGACGTATTAATCAGTGTACGTTTGGAAACTGATTGTAGTTTGTGGCTATAGAATGGGTGAGATAGGCCGAAATCTGTTTTAGTTATTTAATTGTATTTATCGACAATATTTTTAGAACCTGATTCTGTTTCACTTCATGCTTCTCATTCTACCGTCTTATGAATTTCTTTTTAGCTAAGTTTCTTACATTTATAAACTGGTATAAATATTGTTGTTTCTTCTGACCTGTTTGCCTCCTTTTTAGTATTAATGTGCATTGAAACACATCCCTAGTCTTAGGTTGCTTACGACCAAACTCATTGAACAAATAGCAGTAAATTTTGTCAATATATGACAATTCACATCAATATTATCTTACCGAAAACATAAAGCTGAGTTAGATACTATTCGAATGAATTAGAACATGATATAGAGAATAAAATAAGTCAACCGGATTAATTTTCTTGAATTTCTAAGCCATTAAACATTCATGTCATTAGTTTTCTGTATCAGTTATACTATCAGTCATTTGCTGCTTGTTTATTTTCTGAAAATATGAGTAAGTCATCATGACAATCATAGATTTGTTTCTAATACTACTGTATCATCTTTCTACTGAATAAATAGTAGACATGTGGTTATTCCAATCCATAAATAACTCCATCACAATCTTATACCTCTACAAATGAACGTTTTCTTTATTACTTATTAGTATTAGAAAAATATGCAAGTAAAATGCATGTAGCATAATAATCTTTCATAGTGATTCATATACATTTTAAGTCAATTTCCATCAAGAAATGATATTGTGGTGCATGCTACTTATATTGATATAAGTAGTATATAACGCCAGTAGGGAATGTAATGTCTGGCAGCAGAAGATGGGGAAGATCAAGGAAGGAAGAGCGGGACTAGAAAGCAATTTGTATGGAAATAGAAGAATAACGAAGTTCAAGACAATTATTGAACATTTTGCAAATTAAGTATTATAGTATGGTTTTTCTATTTTACCAAGTAACTCTGTAATGTTAGGCTGCATATAATTCGGTTGTCCTCACCTCCTTCACTACAATATCATTCCAAAAACTAATTGAAATCGAAAAAACACTATACAATTACTTTGTTCAAGTCTGGGACTAGTTGACATTGTACACTCATTATCTTATTAAGTTGGAATTCAGGATCTACAAATTTCTCAATAAATATGATTACATTCAATCACTGATTTAACATGCAGAATTTCGCATTTTTCATCATCAGTCTATTCACAATATGATACAATTTTCAGTCAGTAACAGCTATTAAGAATTACATAACTTTTAATTTAGTTGGTTTTACCATTCATATGTCTTCTCAACGGGACTTCAAGCAACTCACAATTTTAAACACGATTAGTATTAAGGTTGACATTTTTTAAAAAAAGGAAAGACAGTTGTTAACTCGATTATGTTGTGTTATTTGAACTGGATAGTTTAATGAAATAAGAATGTAATGAAATAAAAGATGTCAGATCGATAAAACGTTTATTCGACTTCCCTTATTAGTATAAGATGAAATAAGTGGTTTGTTTATAGTTTTGTAGTGTTTTGATGTGGTTATTTGTCTTTATTTTTCTATCAAACTATGAAGATCTGCGAATGTGTCTTTGTATAGGTATGTGTATGACGCTGAAAAGAACAACAATCCACAATAAAAATCGTCAGAGGAAATAATTAAAAGTTGATCAGTATATGATAAATTGAACACTTTTTGAGTGTTTTTGTTTATGAAGACTTTTCTTTTTCGTTTAGTTTGGATTGTTTTTTTTTAGTTCGAAGTGAAATTTCAATTTATTTATTTCACGGATAAAATTAAGCAGTGAATGAATAGCAATTCTTTTTTTGTTTGAGATCATGAATCGATTGATGCCAGATCTCCATTGTGTTATGACGGGATGAAAGGTTAAAATTTGATTGATTTATTCATTATGATTTTTATTCAAGAGTAATTCCTTTTAATTCACAGTGTCTAGGTTTCGTTCACAGACTAGGTGAACTCGTCTTATTGTGAAACTCCTCAGCAGTGCGCATTGTCGATTCTGCTTGCGTGAGAAGCCGTAACCAGTGGTTCTAATCCATGTCAGGTAGAGACAGGCATGTACCTCAGTACAATGGAAGATGGTCGCGAAATTTCGTAGATTTGTTAAGGTTAGACACTAAGACCGTTCAATACAGGCTCAGTGGTCCAGAGGTTAGGCATTCGTGCGCAAAACGGAAGGTCCTAGGTTTGAATCCCGCAAGCGGGATCATGGATGCGCATTGCTGAGAAGTGCCATCATAGGACGATACAGTCGTTTAGTGCTTCTAGGTTTTCAGTGGTGGTCTAACATCAATCGGTTCATGATCTCGATCAGAAACTTAGTAATTTCGATAACCCTATACTGATAATCATTATTTCAAGGATTTTCTAGTCCTGCAGACTTGTAAAACAAACAGTAATTCATATATTTTTCTAAACTTCTTGGGGAACAATTATCTTTACAATATTTATTCATTTCTTATATGCCTAAAATGATTAACATAAGATTATTTAACATTTCATCTTTAATAAAATATAATAAACTAAAACATTATCTCAATATTTTTTATCACAAGAAGTAGATTACGCACGTGTGAAAATCGGAAATGAAAGATGTTTCATTATATTAAGTAAAATAAATGAACATATCTATACGTATTTATATACGGTATCAGTGGTCTAGAGGTTAAGCGTTCTTGTACGCATGACTGAAGGTCCATGGTTCGATTGCCGGTTGCAGGATCGTAGTTGAAAACTTATTTTACAGACCGAATCAAATAGATGAGGGACTATAATGATGATGATGATGATGATTATGTTGACAATAATGTTATCAATAAAGCTTCGTAGAAGAAAGCAGACAAAACGTCAGTATATTAGACTTTTTTCACAAAATTTGAACACTATTCTAACAATAATGATGATAATAATAATGACAAATGACTTACTTGGTATCGGTGTAAATATTGGACATTCATGATAACATCTATCACAAGCACGAAATACTTGAATTGTATAACTAACTGTCAAAAATACTATAACCGTGACAATTACTCCAAGTGGTATACCCCATCTTAAACCTGGCCTAGAAAAGAGAAAACAGAAATGTTTGTATTATAAGTTTAATACTCAAACTAAATAATCAATGAAAAGTCCATAACATTATTCTGTTTAATCAAATAAGTAACCGAAGTTAATTGATTATGTCAACAGTTTTACCCTTAGGCTAATTATATTGATAAAAATTATCATTTAGATTCTTTAAAGATTAAGCTACCAATCTTATCAATGTCATCATGCAAATATTCTGTTATTCAAAATGATATAAGTACTATTTTTAATGATAATTAAGCTTCATGAATTTTACTAGGAATTCATTAGATCTGAAATAATGAAGATTTTGAATGAGACTATAGTTTATGGATGATCAATGAGTTATGGTTAACTGACCTTTAGAATATCCATCTAGTTTTTTTTAGGGTTATATGAAGATTAGAATTGGGATTAGGATTTAAAGTTGAATGTTTGGGTTGAAAATTAGAGTTAGGATTACATCATGAACTGAAATGAGCTACAATGACAAAATGCTATTCAATCACATGAATGAATGGATTTCACGTCAAAATCCAAGATCTGCTATCTCAGATCTGATTGATTCTTTTATAAATTATAGTTCCATCAGATTATGTTCTAGCTTATTATTAGAAAACTTTGAGATAGATGAATCCTTAATTAGCAGTAGTTACTTGAAATGTCAGGCAAACATAGTTATGACAAGAACTATAAATGTAGTCCCTTCAAAATTATCTTTATTCATATAGTATTTAGTGTTAGATTGTTCACTTCATCGTAATGAACTAACAAACGTTCTATTTCAAAATGTCGTCTATGGAAAATAATTTATTGCCAAAACAATTCAAGCCAAAAACAATGAAACAAATACTCTGACAATAACAAACATTCCGATAATTTTATTAAATATATATGTATCGAAGTCTCTAATTTCCATTCTGTCATGTTGAATAATTACTGTTTCCTTAGCTTTTAAGAAATTATTATAAGAAAGGGGTTAAGTTAATGAGTCAATTGAAAGTAGATCACCATGGCAAACCTGGAAGCACTGGACAGTCGTTTCGTCCTAGTATGGAATTCCTCAGTAGTGCGCATCGACGTCCCGCCTCGTGAGATTCGAACCCAGGACCTATTAGTCTTGTGCCTAACCTCTAGACCACTGATTCGGCATCCAACGGTGTTAATGTCTAGCTTCAACCAATCCACGAATTTGTGTGACCGTCCTCCGTTGTCTTTAGTGAGTTGATATCTCACAACAGACCTGGTTGAACTCAACTGGTCACTGCGAAATTGTCGTCTTATATCAGTGCTGTGAATAAATTCTGAAGTTTATATTATGAAGAAACGCTCTTCGTAAGGCATACAAGTTTGATTATTAGTAGGAATAATTCAGTGATATTTGTGAATAAGTCTATTACTGTTTACTATTATTCAGTTATTGACCCAAGTTATTACTGACAGACTGTTCGAAATTTATTGTCTAATGCTGTTCAGCGTTTAAACCAATCAATCATATGATCAATACTCAGAGTGATAGTTATGTAGGCATGGAAGAACCAATCATTTTGTGAGGGGAGTAGCATTCTTTGAACTAAGGGACTTAATAGTGAAACTTTCATTCTTTCTTTAAACAGCATCATCACTACAAAATTAAGTTGGAAGTGAGCTATTCGAATTTCTCCACATATTACCAATAGTTTGTCCTGTTAACCCTGATTTCTATTTCTATTGTTAACAGTTTTACTGTTACAAAAGCACTCAAAATCAAGGTCTAGTAAGACAATCAAGCATTACGATTGAATCATTCAGCTCAGTGAACGCAACTCCATCAAAACTATGCCCATCAGCTCCTAGTTTTCTCCAACCTCTCAAGATTAGTTACTAAAATTATTGTCATTTTCTATTTAACCAAACAGGTTCTCACACTTACAGGCACTGAATGTTTGTGATTGTTTTATCTATTTGTTCACTTTTAATGAAGACAAGCAATAATTTGCAAGGTCTCTTTCGGTAACTCAAAGGCAACTTCAAGGGAAATTCTTTTAAAATTTTATCAACACGAACGGTATAAGTGTTCTGCCTAACTTATTCATCAGACTTAAAATGTACAATATTTCATTTCGAACATCTAAACTATCTGTAACCCTTCGTGTACATGTCTTATCACTCCGGCGTTAAGCAGAGAAAACAGATATGTGACATGTGCATCACTGTGATGTGGTTAACAAAATCCACACACAGGTTTACGTCATATTAAGTCAGTTCCAGATTATGTTAACAGTAAAAACTCTTCGGAGTTCAATAATTGGTCTTCAAAGTGACGTTTTCTAATGTTTGGTTGATTGAAATTGAAAAAATCTGTTTAACTCCATTAAATGGTCGGTTCTCATTGTTCAACATATAAGTAACTCGCCAATCGTTCATTTAACAAATACCTAATTATCACTATAAGGTTGTGGTGATTGTTGAGTTTTGATTAAGATCGTGAATCGATCTGTTTCAAACCATCATTGGAACCTTGGAAGCACTGGACGGCTGTTTCGTCCTAGTACGAGACTGCTCAGCAGTGCGCATCCACGATCCCTCACGCAGGATTCGAACCCTGGACCCTCAGTCTTGTTGGTGAACTCTTAACCTCTAAACCACCGAGCCGGCATCCAACAAACACTAGTTTGACGGAGTTAAACAACTATTTACAAAATCCTCATCATATTAAAACACTGATATACGTGTATATCAATTCTCTTCAGATTTAACAATTATATATCCTAATTTATAATCCATAATATGGATAAGTCTAAGGCAACATACATCTTTTAAAATTATAGCGTGTGAATTTAGGATTGTGAAATAATGTTGAGATGACCAATATGCATTGTTACCTTGAATAAGTTTATAGGTTATACGAAATTGTGCGATTAATGACCGGAATAGGGTGAGTGAAATGATAATACAATTACAGATTCGGTCAAGCGTTTAGTGGAAGAAATAATAAAAAGGGTGAGTGGTAAGTAAACTAATCATGTATTCGGGAGGTTATTAATGATATTAAACAAATCATAATAACAATAATACTACTACTAATAATAATGATAATAATACAAAGATATATGAATGAAGATAACAAAGAAAAGTATATATGACTAACAAAGGTTCTAAGCAAATTGGTCAAATTATGACATTCAGTAGTTAAGATTGCAATTGATTATTTGGGTCTGAAATTGGTCAACGTAAGAGGAGCGGTTGAAGATATTTCTTTTATACACGTAACTTCAGTCTTTTCATCCGAATGGCTGCTACTTCTGTCGTTGGAAGGACTTCGAGTCCGACAGACTTTGGTAAAAAAATACTGACGTGATAAATTATTGTGAAAGGTTGGCTTATACTGGCACTACGATCAGTTTGCACTAACTAAGGCAGTATTGAGCTGTTCACTGTCTTCACTACACCTTTGCTAAATCAAGTGACTACTTCATAATATTACTTAAGAAAAGTGAAAGCTTAAGAATAGGTAATTATGAAATCGTAGTTCTAGGAAATCATAAATAATATTAAGTTGTCATTCATCTAACAGCAATTTATTTCCACATCATACTGTTTTTCTTCAGAATTGGTCGCACGAGATCTATTTACTATTGAATAAACATCTGTTTAGTTTTCTCTTTACCGCCGTTCAAATTCTATTTAACTTGAATTTACTGCCGTAATGATTATTAAATCATTGATATTAATATTCGAAAAAAAATGGGAACGCATTAACGAATACTTTTCACAATGAAATAATTTATCTTCATTACAAAAGCTTTAAAATGAAGAATTTCACTGACTGACTTATCGATTGCTTTACATAATCTAACTTCGAAGATAAACAACAGTAATGAATAGGTTGGAACTTTTTTTTCTTCTTGGCTTTCAATGAATAAATTGAAACTCTTAAACAAAATATCTGAATAAAGAATATTCTTCTCTTCATATTCACATCAAGTTCTACATTTATAAATGCAAGTGTAGGTTTCAAAAGAATAGTCAAGTTTAAGACAAATAATCGAGTATAGGGACATAAAACATTTTAAAATAGAATTGTTCATGTTGAAATGATTAGTACCTAATGATAGCTGGAATAGGTTTATACATTAAATGAAATTATAAGGTTGATTAATCCAGAGTGAAAGAAACTATTGTGTAATTGCAGATCAAATCAAATTGTTTGGTCAAAGAATACTTAGTGTCTACAATAATATGAGATAATAAAACGGGATAATAGGTAATCAAATTCTTGGTGTTTTCACAAGATTGATGGTAATAGTAATTGTGATAATTATTACAATAATATATAGCACATAACAATAACAAAAGTTACCTAAAATCATTGTAAATTACGAAAATATAAAGGAGAAAGGTGTATGTAGATCAGTTAAAGTAGATCATCCCATAATTAAGATGACTATTGACTTATTACATTTGAGTTTGAATACGATAATATGAAAAGTGATTGAACTTAGTCTTTTCTGTGCACAAATCTGAAGGATTTATTATTTATTTTTAGAAAACCTAGACGGTATTGTTTCTACGAATAGTTTGACAAAAATTGTGCACCTAGTATAGAGAAGTCATTACATGTGAAAATTATATTTGAAATAATATCAGCGTTTGAAATTTAAATTATTCCAACGTTTCATCTAGCTAACATGTTCGGATGTCTTCAGGTTGATGATTTTGATTAGTACCCTGAAGAAGTTTAGAAAAGTTGGCTGGACGAAAAGTTGGAATTATTTAGATTTCAATCGCTGAGATTATTTCAAATATAATTTTCACATATAATGGTGTTGTTTCTGCCTTAAACTTGGTCATTCATTCAGATTACTGTTGAACGTGATTAGAAGAAATTGAGAAGAATATTCTTTTTTTACATATTTTTGTTTTGATAAAATGGGAATCCTTTATTCACTAAATGTGAATAATAGCAGTTGTGATGTATAGTAAACGATATCAGATACATATTAACAGTTCTAT